GTATTTTGGTGAAATTATGCTGCTGGTGCATATAATAAAATACTTTATCACGAACTCCATTGTGTTTTTTTGCACACGGCATGTGTATTGTTACGTAGTACTTAGGAATATGACAATCTCCGAGCATTGCGCAATCTTATAAGATATCCAAGCCAAGTGGAGTTCCTGGAAAGTGTTTGAATGGGTGGCCACCATGCACAAACAGGTTGTCATAGGGCCTGAAGAGCCATGTGTTTGGCAGTAGAGGGCAATGCATCAAAATCCATTACTCAGTACGGCTATGCTATATCGTCAACCCACACTGACCAGCATGGTCAGGGGGTCGGCAACCTGCGGCTCCGGAGCCGCATTTGGCTCTTTATGGACTACTTTGTAACGTTATTTATTTAGGACCGTCTCGTATTCACAGTCATTACTGCTCTTGTGATATTGAAGGGGTTTCGAAAAAAATGGCTCCGTTATTTTGGTTGCCGAGCCCTGGGGCGTGGTGGTGTGGGGAGACCCTCGTGGAGTGGTGGATTGACACATGGGTTGTACAAGCACGAGTACAACGCATAATTATCAGCGGAAGGATGCTATGGCAGTGACTTTACAGCAGACTTCGGTGGGCATTGGGCTGACATGAGGAATGTGGTTCCTGTGAATGTATAAAAGTCTCTCCTTTAATAAGGCAGCCATGGTCACGATTAACGGATGTCCTTGTCCCCGTACTTGTTTTGATTAGAATCAGAAAATTTATACTAGAGGAATCCGATTATCTAGATTTATTTTACATTATGAGACCTTTGCCAGTAACAAGATATAGGAATAGGTTTTACCCTTTTAACTGGCACAAAAACTGACACCTTTGTTCAAGGCATCATGTTTGCAATAACCATAACACAAGCAGTCAAAATGCAAACAAAAAAGACAACTCTGATAATAATATGCACTGTCCTTGAATTTGATTGGTCCACACCCGAGACGGCTTTTCTTAAAGCCTAGTCTCCATTGGTGTTGGACCAGAAGACGCCAAAAGGCGTACAACTCAAAAACAGCGCACTATCAGAGGTGTCAGTTTTTGTGCCAGTTAAAAGGGTAAAACATTCCTATATCGTGTTACTGGCAAAGGAGGTCTCAATGTAAATGCTCACCCCGAGCCCTCAATACTCTGGGTTTCGCTGTGTGCGACGACGCTGTATAGCGGAGGAGCTGAGGAGGATAGCCAGCAGTGGAGAGAGCGTAGGGATAGAGGAGTTGAAGACGTGTGTGTGCGGAGCAAAGCGACGTGATACTGGGAACCAAGGTGGTGAGCGAGACGGGCGAAGCACGGCGAGCGAGCCGCGGTGTCCAGGATACGGTGGAGTGTGGAGGACGTGTTCAACGATGAAAATAAAGAAGTGGTTGAAGAAAGACCAAAGTTGTTCGTGTAAAGTTCAACCACTACACGTGCATTCAGTTTTGGAACAGTGTAAATCACAAACTATTTGAATGGTGAGCGCTTGCAAATTGTAAATTTTTGGATCTGATGAAAAATCTAATGAAAATATTATTAAACGAAAATCCCACCGAGTCTTTCTCAAAGCAAAATGTTTGGATGAAGGAAAAGTCAGTAAAAAATCAAATGCTGTGCAGCTGGGTTCTGCTTTTAATCCAAAAATATGTTTACAGGCAATTGTGTTTGAAGACTTGCTGTGGTAATTTGGGTCAGAGACCAAGCTGAAAAATGCATGATCAAACGTAAACTATATAAAAAACTGCCCGAGTAATGATTATGAACATGACCAAAGCGTTATATCATAATTCTAATCTAAACATGTATATTGTCCATGGTAAGTTGGGTCAAATAAAGCAAGACAGTATGCTGTCTCAAAAGTTCAAACGATACTAAAAACATACACCCAAATGTTTGGCATCAAGGTGACGAATAAAAAAATATGCTGCAAAGTGTTATTTCTCTTTTTTTATATACATAATTTGGGAATTGTATATTTCCATCAGAAATTTAGTGCATAATGATGCAGCGAGTGTTTAATTGAATTGTGCTATAAACCACGTTCCCTAAGTTAATACGTGGCCGTAACCAACATCACTGGCAAGTGATATCTGAAATGATCATGGGCATACCCCTCCCCTTCACTCACCCACACTGACCATTGTGATCAAATAAGGGGAAGCAACACCCGTGACTGACACGTTGTGTGGAAGGCCTTTATCCAGCAGTGGATTGAAACTGCTGGACATTTTTGAAAATAGTTTTTTCCCAGAGAATTTGATTTTTATAGGATCTCCAAAATATAATGGCATTTTACCTAAGATATAGTATAAAAACACTATCACAAATGGTACTGGAATCTTCACATAGAATACCCAAAATATACATTCCATTAATAGATACCCCACCAATTTCGAATGATTTCATTTTATTATCAACAGAATATTGCATATTGTAAAAGTGATGGATTCTTATTTTGCAGAGAAGCATGTTAAAATATTTAATAAGTGTTTTGAGATTGGTGGGCGATATGTAGAGGCTTTAAAATAACACTTTATTAATAATCTTGCCCTATTATGGACCATGGATCAACCTGTATGCTGGGATTTTTACATGCGTACCCAAAATACTATTGGGTAGTAATTGACAAGTATTCAGAATAAAAATACAAATTTACCAAGCATGCCTAAAATACTATGGTAACTTGCAGAACACAATCATAAAAGAATTTATCTGGGGATTGCTCAAGCCCGATCTTGGTTCAATTACGATTGGAATTGTCATGCACCATTACTTTCGATGAGAATGTAGTAATTTCAGTGAACAAAGCTGCTTTAAATTTCGATTTAAAGCTTTCGTGACTGCAATGATTCATCTTCTTTGGTTCTTTCGGTAAAGTCACGTAGAATGAGAATAAAATAATAAATTGATAAAATAATCAATTTATTATTTTATTCTCATTCTACGTGACTTTACCGAAAGAACCAAAGAAGAAAGCTGCTTTAGTCGTCATAATTGACCCGAGGTCTGCCTAACAGCTGTACCTGACAATGTTTTTGTGATGTTATTGGTGTAGTTGCAGCAGACTGTTTGTAGACAGACTCACAATGAATATGGGAGTTGCAGAAAATATGTAATTGATAATCGATTGAAATACGGTCTGTATTGCTTTGGGAGTTCTTTGTTGTTGTAAGCCCTTGCTTTGTTATTATTTATTTATATTTTGCATATAAAGTTTTTTTTCAGAAGTGCATCTTGTTTGAGCCGGCTGTGAGCTCTGGCTGTGACCTGGTAGTGGAGTAACGGAATTGGGCTTCTCCTGGTCTCTGTATGAATGTTTAACTTCTTTCGCACCGTACGTAGCCAATCGCGCTAATCGTAGGCGCCTCAACCACGCTGTGACTGAGAGACAAGCGACTGCGTGCAGAGCGTTGGCCAATAGGAGTAGAAATCACAAACAATTCTGTTGTCACACAATTGTTTGGTGATTGTTATCCTGAGAGCTGAGTTTTGACGTTGGGCAGGCTAGGAGGGACTTGAGCTTTATCTCGTCCACTACAATGCTTATTTTTTAAATCGTTATTATACCCTCTTATACTATTGTGCAGGTGGCAAGGTTCAGATAGAGGTTTCAGCGAAAACGTGATTAAAATGGGTTCTCAAGTGTAGCATGTTGATGATCTCGGTGGTGACTGCACAAAGAAAATATCACGTTGTTTGGTTTTGCACTAGATTTGGTTAAATTCCAGTGTTCAGAATAAAAAAATATATTGCGTGTATCATGTGACCATCTTTTGGCAGAGTGTGTGGGGAAATCTACACCTCTGTAAATTGATAAACTTTATATTCTTGGTTCTTTCGGTAAAGTCACGTAGAAGGGAAACAATAAAATCATAAAAATATAAAAATATTTTTATATTTTTATTTAATTGTTTCCCTTCTACGTGACTTTACCGAAAGAACCAAGAATATGAATCCCTGCAGTCACGAAAGCTTTAAATCAAAATTTGATAAACTTTGTTTCACTTGAATATCTTTTTTCTCAAGTCCTTGTGAAACATCTATAACGCAGCCATTCTGACAAACGTGAGATTTCCAAATAGATTTTTCGTCTGAGGTGACTCTCCTGATAGCACTGCTGGAATTAGGTGAAAGGCTAAACATTGTTAACATAACCAGAATCAGAATATTTAAAGTTTACGTTACGATCATCAATGCAAAGGCCACAAAATGACGTTTTTTTTTTATTCAGAAAACGTCATCCTCACTTTATTCGACAGGAGGATTTCTGCACAAATCTGGCTGTCGCTTGATGAAGCAAGTTGTAATTACTGGGGAAACGTCGTACTCAAGATTGTAAATGTAGTGGCTTTTTTGCTCTCCAACACACCGGTGTGCTGAACTAGTAACAATTTGGCACGTTCTGTTTACGTCACAAACCTTACAAATTGGTTGTGTAGGGTGGTGGCGGGTTTAACGACACATATTTACACGATCTAACCCAAAAAGCTGTATTATGGATGATATTGGTCGCGAAAGCCAACGTGTTACAACACCTAAAACATTTAACATGAACGTACCCACGATGTTCACCATCACGCAAACGAACAAATATTACGTGTGACGTCACTCAGGAACTCAGCTGCGATAAGCCTGTTGCTGTAAAGAAGTGCGAACGCCCGAAACGTTGCCTAGAAAATGTACACTTGTCCTCGTAAGACTGTTTCCTGAGTTTTTATTTTAAATATTTTAAGCCGCAATCGGTGCGTTAAATTATGACGTCATTCAACAGCGCTAGCTGACATGACGCCACTACCCCCAGGCCAATGATTTGCTCTCTCTCACCCCCCTCCCACCTCGCCCTCTCTCCCCACCCTCGCGCTCTCCCGCGCGACTCGCGTCACGGCTCGACGGACCAATGGGCGAGCGCGTTACGTCGCCGCGCGCTGTCACCAAGCGCTTGAAGTAGCCAACCAGGGGGCGCGTCTCTGGCAGCCGGCATTGCCGCCAACGGGCTCAGGGAGCGAGAGGTAACGCGCTGTCGGGCGGTTCGGACTGCGAAGGGGAAAAAAAAAATCTATCGACGATATAATTATAACAATCGCGACCGCCTCGGCGACCTTTTGCTGCAAAACGTCAACGGGCAGTTGGATTTATTAGTCGCGCGTTCACTTTGTGGTAAATTGGCTCGAGTTTTTTGTGCGCGCGAGCGCGCGCGAGAAAAGTTGACGGGCTTGGGCCCGCCGCCTGTCCCTATAGGCCCCAGCGAGCGCAGCCACGCGGTGCTCGAGGCTCGTGAATATGTTCGCTAAATCGTCGACTGCGAGCGTTTACTAACCTCGCCGCATGTGTCGGGTTTTTTTATTTTAAAAAAGGTGTTTTGCTACTTACAGCCGGTTGAGTGTGGTTTATATCTTTCCGTGCTTGGTTTAAAAAAAAACCGCGTAGCTCGCCGCGGCGTCCGTTAGAAATGTCATTGCTTTACGTGGCTTCGGTTGTACATCTGTTTGTTTAAACGTTTTTTTGTTTTAAATGTAAGTACGTAAGACGTTGACGCGTGGGTGAAAGAATGCCGAATAAGTAGCTCAAAATTTGGGAGGCCAAATTCACTTGTCCTGACAACACCACGTGGCGTCGGCGATATAATGCGGCGTTGGCTGATGTGTCATGCGAATTTAAAAAAAAACAATCGGGAGCCAGAAATTCGCACGTATTGCCCGGCAAACTGGGCCCGAGGTGCTTTTTTAATCAATGTTCACTTCTAGTAGTCGTGTCAAGGGCCCACGGCAAGGCTCCCGTTTAATTTAAAACGAATCGTGACTGCGCGCTTTAGTGGTGGCGCCACGTGGTCTCGCGATGGGGGTGGGGGGTGTTCCAGGAGACTCTTGGCGGGCGCTCGGGGGGTTAGCATAATAGGCTTTAAAAATATATATCTTCTGTATAGTACAGCTGTGGTTATGTTTGTACAAAGTGAAAACCATTGCCGCCAAATATCAGGAGAGTCGGTTGGCATCTTAAGTGGGCTACGCGAATCGCTGAGATTTTGGCGCCCCGTTTAATCCTCTTTGTTCGGGTTTTGCAACTGGAGTCCGCCGAATTCTCAAGTGGAAGTCCCATCCACATCAGTCCATCATCGTCAGTTGCGGTCATTTCGATGAAAGTCTTCAATCGGTGGTGTCGTTTAAATTAATTCCATCACTTGTGTTTGTACAACTGAACTATTAATTAAAGAAAGGTAGTTTTCCAAACGTTAGATTTTTACGGCAAATATATATTTTGAAAGGTATGGGTTTTTACACAACGTATTCTCGTTAAGTTTGCTGAAGCGGAAACTTTCTATCAACTTTCCAATACAATTCTACTTTGGGGCCTGATAATACAAATTTAAATAGTGATTGTGCAACTTTATAATTGGTCGCCTTATACGATAAGACGTTAAGCGGGTGAGTCCTCACCTGGTTAAGTACAATAAACTTAAAAAGGTGTCCTCTGGTCTAACACCGTTTTGAGACGAGGCTCAAAAGAATGCTGTCTCTGGTGTGGACCAATCGGTTTCAAAGACAATGCATATATTATCAGTGTTTTGTTTGCATTCTGACCACAAGTAGTGTGGTTAATGCAGACATGATTCCTTGTAAAAGGTGTTTTTTTGTCGCCAGAAAAAAAGGGGAGAACCTATACTCAAGGTGTAACGATCCATCTCAATTCATATTTTGGGCTGTGGTGTATGTAGAACATAGTGGCAAAGTACTGTAGTAGAAAGTATTTAAACAAGGTGGGGTATGAAGCTGTAATGGTATTTTAAAAAGGACAGTTATCAGTAACGATGCGAACATGAATGGTTCGATGTATGTTTCGAGGGCCTCAGGATCGTTTTAATCGAGAATCGATTAACGCCCCCGTTAGCGCGTGAACGTGACATGATCGTTCAGAATTTGTATCTGGCCTATGTAATTCCAAGACGTCGCTGCAGTGAAACTAGTCACTGGCTTAGAGCGCCATGCACCTTGGGAATGTCGCCGTGCATCCCGTTTGAATGCGCCAACTGCTATATTTTTCCTGCAATGCCATACAATTAAACCCCCCCTGTTTACAAGGGCAACTGCCAAAAGCTGTGCCTTTTGGCCATACAAAACAACTGCGTACACGTTTACGCCCCAAACAGTGGGATAAAGTTGAGGGTTTACAGCAGTCGGAGAGCGTGTGGGGTGGGTAGTTGGATTTGGTTACTGAGAAGATTTCACAGGCAATATCTTTGGCGATGGAAAATCAATCGCAAAACCTTGACTTTTGTGACTACTACGGTTGAACTGTAGTGGTCTGAAAGCTGGCAATACTGTATGATATATCTCGGATGATACTGTCACAAGTTCATTTAACACTTCTATTGTCATTTGCCTTTAATATTTGGGCCTTGAGCATTAACACTATATGGTAAACTCTAACCCAAGTTTGATTCCACGCCTCAGCAGGGACAAGTGAATTCTAAAACAGACCCTTCTCAAACGCACATTGACCAGTGTGGTGAATAATAGTAAAACTAGCGGGAATTACCCGGCGTTGCCCGGGTCTTTAAAATATTTCAAAACTACTCTTAAAAATCTAACAGTGCATACTGACTGGTGGTACCTGCTATGATTACAGCTGTGCATACCGAATGTGGTGGTACCTGCTATCACTACAGTAGTACATGCTGACTTTATAGCAGTATTTATCGACTCTATAGCACAAGGTACTCGTCTGACAGCGTGGTGAGGCCTAGTACCGTGCAGAGCCTCCGGCCTCGCCTAGATTGTCTAGCCGGCCGAGGTGGCACCTTGGCAGGCTGGGCTGCTACTCCTGACCCCCCCCCCCCAGCCACAATCTCTCCGGCCGCTCTGCAGTAATATCTACGGCCTATAGTGGTAGCATCTAGCGACTGTATATAGTAGTAACTGCACGCATCGGGGTGGGGGTCGACATCACACAGTGAAGATTAAAACTCAGCGTTTAGTGTGTGTTTAGCATTTTTAACGCGAAAGAAAATGCCCCTCTCCCACCGAAGGCGTGCGACTTGGCATGGGTTTTCCCCCCCACCAAAGGTGCGTGAGTTGGTATGGTCGTGCACGCGTCATAAATAAATATATAGCACGCAAAAATCTTACTAAATCGCTAATTAAACTAAAGTTGACGGGTGTGAAAAAGGAATAGCGCTTTCTCCGGCGGGGTTTACGACGGGGTACCTGGCTATTTTTGTTTTTACGTTAACCCCACCGTTGGAGAGCCAAATCCTTCGCAAGCGTGCGAACACACAAAGCCACACACAAACAGATATTTATATATAGATAGATTAACTGTTAAGGATCACAACGTGCAGACACTTTCTTTCAACACTAAGTCTTTAAGGGAACTACAATTGAGATTTCTGTACGATATTTGCATTCATCTCGGTACAAGTGATGCCCCGTAATGCATATTGAGTTTTAATTCTTTGTATTTGTTTATTCAGGTGCAACATCTCAAATGGCTGAAGAAGACAGGTACTTTTTTTGACGCGTTCAACCCACGAGATAATACATTTTAACTTTGGTTTTGTCCTTTCCAGCAATAATACAGGTGTTGGAATGTGTAAACACCAAATAGACACCTGTTTCAAGCCATCAAGTCTACGGTTTGTAATGTATGGTGTGAAAGAAGTTAAACATTCGTAAAACATGCAAGCAAACGTTATTTGATCATTCACTATGTAACAATTTTTGTTCCTGGGTACTAAGTGGTATTTTTTAATTGCTTATGCCGAAAAAGTATAGAAAATGGCTATTATTTCCCCAAACTTTGCTTTTGTGACCAGGACTTTGTGAACGAAAGACAAATGTACACGTTTTCTCATTGAAAATAGGTATATTTCAAAATATCATTGTCCTGGTCACAAAAGAAAAGTTTGTGGGGAATAGCAATTTTATGTACTTTGAGGCATAAGCAATTAGAAAATAACACTTACCTAGGAACAGTTTTTTTTTGTTACACAGTGTAATGCTTGCGTTGTCTTTGAAATTGATTAGCCTGCTCCACAGACCGCCGCCGCCTTTTTGCCTTCAGTGTTAGCCCAGAATGGCAAAAGGGGCAAACAGCATAAAACGATGCAAATATAAAAGCACCTCCGATTAGCATGGTTAGCTATGTACGGTGCAAAATAAGTCGTATATACATCAAGAGACCTCCTTTGCCAGTACCAAAATATGAGAATGGGTTTTTTCCTTTTTTTGGCTAATAAAACGTGTTAAGATATTAAAACACCAAACTAAAACCTTTTACAAGAAATCATGTCTGCATTAACCACAATACTTGTCTCAGAATGCAAACAAAAAACATACTCTGTTAATATATGCATTGTCTTTGGAGCCTAGTCTCAAAAGGGGTCTCAAAAGGTATTAGACCCTTTGACTAACGCCATTTGAGACGAGGCTCCAAAGAAAGCTGTCTCTGGTGTGGACCAATCAGTTTCAAAGACCAAACATACATTATCAGAGTGTTAGTTTGCATTCTGACCACACGTATTGTGGTTATTGCAGATATGATTCCTTGTAAAAGGTTTCAGTTTGGTGTTTTAACATCTTAACACCTGTTTTGTTACCAGAAAAAAAGTGGAAAACCTATTCTCAAGCTCATACACATTAATAGCTCCTGGTTGAGCTTCGAATATTTAATGTGTTATTGCCGGAAAGGGTAAATAAAGCCTCTCTTTCAAAATTTGTATACCACCAAAAAATGGTTTAATTATTAAACAAAAATTATATTGCCAGCAGGTTTAATTGTGCTGAATCGCATTCTGCGTCTTGTTTGCACTCGACAGCAAAGTTGTAGCAGTAGGAGAGGATGAGATGGAAGAAGTGGATGATGAAGAAACGGAGGCGTGTGCAGGAGATCAAGACAAGAAAGGTGTGCTTGTAAATGCTTTGCTAATATATTTAAATATACATTTTCATTATACGACGGCCCTGAGTAATATTCAGTGGCACTTCACCACCTAGCATCAGTGTGAGGATGTCAAGAGTGCAGATTCATCACATGGCAACCAACGCTTTTATTCTATGTTGTATGTGCAGGATGCATCAACACTGTAAATTTACCTCTAAGTTAATCTTTAAAAACAGATCTGCTGATGGAAAGTGCAAGCTATGTTGATGCCTGGTCCACTCATGGGTTTCGATAAATTCATAGTATTTTCAGTAGGCAGCCCATTGTGTTCTCTTAATAAGTTATTTTCTGGTAATATGCAAGCTTAAATCCAGGAGCTTTCAATTGTATGGCCTGGTGGGTGCAAGCTTTTCTTTTTTGCATTGACTTTGCACTTCTGTGTTGTTAAGCTTGTTCTGCTGTCTGCGCTACTCGTGTTACCAATGCGTGTATACCACATGAAGAGACATTTAATGATCATATGTTTGATATATTAAACGCTTAGGAAATGCAGTTAATCACATTGCACATGGTAAAACGATCGAGTTTTTTCATTTATTTTTGTATTCTGGAATCAATGGTTAATGACAATCTCATGGACATTGCTACACCTGGTCAAAGAGTTGCTTACTGTGATACTGTTGCTGAAACTGGACCTAAAATGTGTTAATTATATTTGAAAACACTTTGAAATTTTCAGTGAAACAGCTGACAGCTCAGATGATGAAGAATCCGCAGGTTTTGGCTGCACTGCAAGAGAGACTGGATGGGCTGTCAGGCACTCCATCTGGCTACATCGAGAGGTCATACTTTATGATGTGTAATAGTCCTCGATTTTTTGCAGGTTTAATTTTTCAAAAATATTGTCTTGAAAAGTTTGCAATGTTTTAATTGTATGGAATAATAAAAGCATTTTTTTTATACCTGTTGGTAATGGTACATTTTATTTGAATTCACATTGACTTGCGTTTATTTAGTATGAAGCATCATGGTGTACCAAAACAAAATGCACACATTGAAACTGCATTTATATTGAGTGTTGGTTAAAACGAGCACTGCAGTGTAGCATAGGTTGTAACGTGACTTGATGGTGAATGTGTAAACGATTGCGATTGTGATTATTGTAAATGAATGCATTTATGCAGTTTACCAAAGGTTGTGAAGAGGAGAGTGACAGCCCTGAAGAACTTGCAGGTGAAGTGTGCACTGATCGAAGCAAAGTTTTACGAGGAGGTCCATGATCTTGAGAGGAAGTACGCAGCCCTGTACCAGCCGCTCTTTGACAGGGTGAGTGCTGCCAAATCTGCTGATGAAATGTCTTCTGTGTTACGTGGTGGTGTCATGACATGCTGAACCTTTGGACAATGGAGTTGCCTACCAAAGTCCTGTGTTCCAGGCTATCTTACACGAGTGAAGCTTCATTAATGAGAGATGACGTTGGTTTCCCACGCTGTAAAGCATGAGTGAAATCGCTGATTTGTATTTTTAAATGGATGCGATTGACGTTGCAGTGTAAATATTTTAATTCTCATTACCAAAGTTTAAACCTGTGCCGATGTATTGTGACCCCTTTCTAGTTGTGAAGCTGCATATGCTATATCATGTGTCTGGGGTCTTTATATTTGGTTATAGAATGGCCTTTGTTATATTCCATGTAATGTACATTGCTACACTTGTTTTTCTCACTTTAATTCTGTGTGGCTGCTGCTGTTGCAGAGGAGAGACATTGTAACTGCCTTGGTGGAACCTGATGATGCGGAATGTGAGTGGCCGAATGACAAGGAAGAAGACCTTGTGGTAAGATCGTCATTGCATAAACTGAACTATTGTTTTTCAGCAGTGGTTGTTATTCTTGCACTTGTGACTAATCCTGCACGTTTTTAAACTATACCATGGTGTGGTAGGATTGAAAAAGTAAAATGAGAGCTTGTTTCACAGCTGATCAAATATACTGCAGTGTCTGCTACTTGGAAAACATAATGGCAGAACCTTTCATGCTTACTTTTGAAAGCACTTAATCTTCATGTTGCTGTAGATTCTACATGCAGCTTGTTTTGTATTCCACGGAGGTGAAACAGTCCCATTTTTTTCAACTGACTAAACTTCCCCTTGTGGTGGTGTGATAACCTGGTTTTATTCACATGGTGTTTTAAATGTTTCCATAGCAATTATTTCGGTGACCATGAAAACACGCCACATCAATATGCCTCTTATAAGGCCAGACAGTGGTATGATAATCTAAGTGCATGTGTATGAAATTTAAACATAACAAGTAATTAAATTTTAGATGTGCATGGTTTTCATCCAGTGAACGCTGAAATGTTCCACAAGGTGGCGTTGCACCCTTGATGTTCTCTCGCATAAATGTTTTTGTGAATCTGCTTTGAATAATTGTCTAATTGTAGAATTTAATTGACATTTCAGTATGAGCTTTGCATACATTTGCGAATAGGACGTTGAATTATAACGGTAAAACCATAACCTGCTATTGAAAAAGTAAATTTGGTCATGCAATTTGATAAATTGCATTAACATAATAGAATTTCATACGTGGGCTTATTCTTATTTGTAACATGAGTGAGCTGCAGTTATTGCAATATGCAATTGACATTTTGAAAGTTCTTTCCTGGTGCGTGTGGTGCATCCACAAAGGTTAAACATTGTGCATTTGTGGCTTTTTCAATGATGGGCTTTAAAGAGTCCTCATTGAGTTGCTGTGTTAAGAATGTTTACGTGGCCTCGCAGCAAAAACATATAAAGGCTATTGAGCTTATCTTTGCTTGGACCATGTTTATTTTCCATAGGATGAAGTGAAGGAGAAAGCAAAGCTTGAGGAAGAGAAAAAGGAAAAAGAGGAAGATCCCAAGGGCATCCCAGAATTCTGGCTGACTGTGTTTAAAAATGTGGACATGCTCGGTGACCTTGTGCAGGTAATCTACAGAGAGCTGTGCGTGCATGTTTTTTTTCTCCCTCCTGTAAAAACTGCTTCATTTTTATTTTGGACAAATTTCTGACCTTAAACACCGACTTGGAGAATAATTTGGACCACTTATTGTCAAGTCAGCAGATGCTGCATAAGCCTGTGAGACGGTTTTGTATGTTAAGCACTTTTTCATGGCAACTAATTTTTATATTACCACAACTGCAGCAGGCAATGGAAATGCCCTTGACTTCACCACCATAAAATATACCATTATTTCTGTCTTTACAATATTCATACATTTTTGGGTGGGTCATTGATCACTACTGATTGTTCTTATAGCCTAATGAGGTGTTTGTGTTTTTGCAGGAATATGATGAGCCAATTCTTAGGTATTTAAAGGATGTACGTGTGCAGTTTTCCGAAGCAGGACAGCCAATGGTAAGAAAGCTTTACTGAGCTGTATGGAAAGTCTTTTTTGTTATCCTTTGCCTGCTCATGAACTTGGTTGTTCCATTTCCAGATTTTTTAAATCTTATTAAAGATCTGCACCATGCTTTGCTTATCTTTTTATATAAATGTGAGTCTTTGCCCCCTATCATTCGGTCTGTTTGCCTGCTTGATGTTGCTGTGTAAGTAAGAGGTGTGTTTTTGTGATGCATGATCAACATGTTGTGGTTCCTGGACCCTTGATAGATGCTGCTATACTTTGGGGATGATAAGTCTTAGTCGTTGAATGCCACGTGTCTGGTGTCAAACTCGTATTTTACTTACTCTCAGTTGAATGTTTTGCCTCGCATAAATTGGCAACCTTTTTCCCAGCATGCGTCTACTACATTTTGCCGTTTTAAGCTGCTCACGAGTTAAGTTTATCAAATGAGTGGACTTTTTTGAAAAAGAGCGAGTGCAAATGTTCCACATTTTTTCAGGTACAATCCCTATACTTTGGGTAAAGATTAACGTCGGTTGTTGAATTTAATCTTGGCAAGTCCTTCAATTGTAGGCATAGTGTATGGAAGGGCTGAATCATGACATTCCAACCAATATAAAGTTTTGTTTTCCTAACCAGTCTTGTTTTTAAAAAACTATTTTAAGGGGCTCATGACAAAATGGTAAAAAAAATCCAAATGGCTGACATTGACATGTTGAAATGGGCACCACATTTACTGATTGTCCTTTATGATTCTGGTAACTTGCACCGAGTCAAGTAATTTGCCTGGAGGAACATATGCAATTATTAAAAGTAGTGTTGGTCATTTTATATTTTTCTTAGTGTACAATCTCTAAAACCGCCTACTCGAATTGTATCGAGTACAAGCAAAAAAGCCGCAACGTTTCAATCACAACACAAGCGGTCTTCTCTCCACCTGATGAAGACCGCTTGTGTTGCGATCGAAACGTAGTGGGTTTTTTTGCTTTTATTTTAGATTTTTTTTGTTTTCAATTTACGTGACTTTACCGAAAGAGCCAAGAATATGAATTCCTGCAGTCACCAAAGTTAAGTCTAAATAGACACATTTATACTTTCGCAGTCGAGCCCAATAAAACCACTCGATAATATTGGTCAAAATCCTGTGTTCATTTGAATGAATACCTTGTTGACAAGTTTGTGCACTGGTTTGACACATGCCCATTTTTAAGACATGTTTTCAACAGTAAAAATGTCAAATTATCTAAAAATGTTACAATTTATTGCTACTTGTCCCATAACATAGTTAAACGTCATTTGCTCAGGTATTGCTTATTTATAAAGCATTCGTGACAAATTGCCAACCTTGGTCACCACTTATCCTATTCCTTTTCCAAATCCAGATGTCACTGTTTAATGTCAAGCTGCATAAATGTAATGAGCGATCCCTCAAGTCGAAAAGCCTTTTTCTGAAGTAAACGCGTCGTAAATGGCAGCTTACGTCCATGACTCAGGTGTCTTCATGCAACACGTGGTGGTGATTGTTGAAAACTCGTAAGGTCTTGAGAAATGTTATTGCATTCCTCTGAAAAAAAGCTCGTGCGTAAATACTTGTCACAAGTGATTCATTGCAAATGTTATCCGTATTCAACCCTCTCCCATCGGTGGACATCAACTATACATAATTAAATGTAGAGGGCAAGGCATTTTCCTAAGCTGTGCTTTTCATAAAAAATTATACGCTTAAAGGAAATGTTAAAATAAATATACAAACTTGCAATGACTCAGTCCAGTTAAACTTCCGCTGCATAGGGGGCCCAGCGATAGGGTCTCGGAGCACCGACGATGTATGCTCGGCAATGGTAAGGCACGGCTATGACTCTCCTCAAGTGATCTGATTTTTTTTTTTCCACTGGGTGATGGTCACGAGGCATCTAACCAAATCGCCAGAATGCCCCTCATTCTGGATGGTGCTTGAATGGGTGACTTTCGTGCACAATCAGGCTTGTCATAGGGCTGCGAGGCTGGTAGTAAAAAAGAGCTGTGAAGCAAAATCATTTTTTTATTTGTATACTCCTGCAATCTGCTCTGCCTTCAACCCATGCTGACTAGCGTGTATGAATTATCTTCGCATAACCCCACCCCCCCGCCCACGACCTGCGTGGTGTATGGAGGCCCGCATCAAAGGTGTGCCTTTACAGAAAGACTGCATAATTTTGATGTCAAGGCTGTCTCAAAACCGCGTGTGCATCTGCAATGTCTTGACAACTAACTTGTGGTGATGTATTCTCCCGCATGTTCAGAGCTTCTTGTTGGAGTTTCATTTTGAGGAGAATGAGTACTTCACCAACACAGTTCTGACCAAGTTGTACAAAATGAAAGCGGAGCCCGATTTGGACGATCCCTTTTCCTTCGAAGGACCAGAAATCACGACGTGCACGGGGTAAACGCAACAGGGGAGCCATTAACACACACACACACACACGAGGGGAGCTGCTTGTGCTTTCAGACTTGTAAATAAGTAGACTCTTCCCCTGCTTTGGGAGGGTTAAATTGTGTTTTATAGAGGTAATTTATAATGGCTGTTAAAATGTTGGTGGAGGTTATCTCTTATTAAAGTGAAATATTTCATTAAATATTCAGGGTGTCCCTAAAAGGTATCCAATAATGAAGACGTATGATTAGACGGTTTGAACTGTGTGATTGAAATGTTGGTACTTACGAGTCTATCAAAGTTTTTTTTTATTCTGAACGCCTGGGTAATCTTGAACAACATGAAATAGAAGCATTCAAAACCATCAAGCCCGTAGATGTTCGTGAATATCTCGTCTCTTGATACTGCTGTCACGATACCATGGTGGGTGTGTGGTTTAAAGGGATTAAATCAAAATCTTAATACTACCGGTGTGTAGTTTCGTAGATCTAGCTCAAACTGCTGTTTTAATTGTATATATTTAATAATTCATAATACCCTTATGGACACCCTTTAGGTCTGTAATTCTCTTTAGCATGTTGCTGTAAGATGCCAGAGGTGCAATGCAGTCTTAATGGTTGAAACAAAAGCCACTGGCCAAATTGCTTCTACAGTGGTCAGCCAATTTTTGTTATTGCTGTATGTTGTAGAGTTTAAATTGCTGCCTGCTTTATAGTTGGCTCGGTAAGTGCATATTTGTGTTTATTGGATTCATAAATATAGTGGAGCTGGGTTTGAAGTGTATGCAAGGCTTTTTCAATTGCTTTTGGTGCAGCCGAGCCTTCGCAGTTTGTCATCTTCCTAAGGGAGGTGGTGAAACGCCAGTGTAATATGTTAATGCTCACTGATGCACTTTATCATGCATGCACATGCATCCATATAAAAATAATACATTTGTGCATTTTTATATCAATAGTGCAATTACTGCATCACCTTGTTTTATGATATGGTCAGGGGGCAAAAGTCTGCAATGTTATTTTACAAAAATTTAAAGATAAAACATTGTTTTCATCTGCAAAACAATGGGCGTTTAAATTCTTTATTTGGTTTTCTTGGAGCTCAAAGGATTGCTATTTCGGCCATTAATTCTACTTAAAATAGCTTAAGGTTTTCGGTAGCTGAAATGTTTCCTATGCCCAGTCCTTAAAAAAAAGACGAGCCAATATTGGAATTGTGTTGATTTACCTGCGATGTACACTAAATTAATTTTCTTCTTTGGTTCTTTCGGTAAAGTCACGTAGAATGAGATTAAAATAATAAATTGATAAAATAAAATAACACAATAAAATTCTCACGACGTTTCGGCCACAACACAAGCGGCCTTCATCAGGTGGAGGACAGCGCTGTCCTCGAGACAGTCTTGTCCCTTCACCTGATGAAGGCCGCTTGTGTTGTGGCCGAAACGTCGTGAGAATTTTATTGTGTTGTTTTATTTTATCAATTTATTATTTTATTCTCATTCTACGTGACTTTACCGAAAGAACCAAAGAAGATGAATCCTTGCAGTCACGAAAGCTTTAAATCGAAACTAAATTAATTGTCAGCTTTATTGAGGCAAGTTAAGCACCCCTTTGCCAAACGTCTCTGCAGGTGCAAGATCGACTGGAAGAAGGGCAAGAACATCACTGTGAAGACCATCAAGAAGAAACAAAAGCACAAGGGCAGGGGCACCATTCGTACAGTCACCAAAACGGTGGCCAATGAGTCCTTCTTTAACTTCTTCAGCCCACCTGAAGGTGTGTTAATGTGCCCCCCTCCTCTCCAGGACTTCCCTGTGAACATGCCTGGTGCCACAAAGCTTAATTTAAATTGCATTATCAGACTCCTCTGTTTAGGCTTTATTTGTGCTGCTGCCCAATAAGCTAAATTACTTTGCAAGTTGGAAATTCTATATTTCTACTGGTTTTGGCCAAATTGAAAACGAAACTTTCTGCATTTAAAATAGTTTCTATTTTGCAAATCCCTTCAAAACAGATGCATTCTTCTTCATTGGAGGCATGTAAGCCAAACCTGCCCAGTTTTTCCCCCTTCGTGTTCTCCCTTATGCTTCCCTTCCCCCTCTCATTGAAAGCTGGACAACCATCTTAAAAAAGCCTAGTTTGTTTTATCAAGGGTTGGGAAGTTGGCTAAAATATTACAGCAGTGAGGAATTCTCCGTTTGTTTTTTGGGCCCTTTTTCTCCTTGAGTTTATTCAACCTCTTAATCCACAACGGCTTTTTTGTTGTTGCTCGTAGAAATTAACATTTACTTTGCTCACCTATCGAGTCTGTGTGTGTGTGTGTGTATAGTGCGAGTGCTTCGTACACCGACAATTTTCTGCCACGCTGTGCTGTGGGGGGGGGTGGGGGGGGGAATCGCCGTACAGTAGTTGTAAACCCCTTGTTGCTAACGACCACAAACGTGAAGTGCCGAACTCGTAATTTGTACAGCGTGTGTGAGTGCGCGGGGGGTGGTAAGGAATTGTGTAGCAGCACAGGAAATGAAGCCTGGTGGAACGCTTCCAAACGCCCACGCGCACGCCTTGTTTTCCTGAAGTTTTGTAGAGCCAAAATGCCCATCTGCTGAGGTAGTAAAGTTTAAGAATGTAAAATTTAGCTAAAGCAATTGATTAAAATATGCCACTAAAGAAACCAAGTGTACTATTTTTTTACGACGGTTAGATTGTATTCATTGGGCCAGGAAAGCTTGATGCTAGCTTTATGTTAATAACGCAAATTGCAGATGAATTTAATTAACACAGCAGTGATTTACATGGTGGAAAAAGTGCTGCCTTTAAATTTTTCGTATTGGAATAATTATAGATTATTTTTTTACAGATTGAAAGGATGTTGAATTAAAATGATGTTTAAACAGGTTTTCCAAATCTGCAGGAAATTTGTTTTTGAGTAACCAAAATGTTTCTATGCAGACTACATTATTATTGCAGAGCTTTAAAGGCTGGCTCGCATTTTCCTAAAACTTCTTAAAACTATTAATGCTGGATTTTTGTACATTTTCATACGTTTGTAATATGGTAAATACTGAAAAAATTATCCTACTAAACATTGAAGAAATGTACATTAAATTGTACCATGATTGCACTTGTGAGCTACGGCAAATTGCAATGTGCTGAATTCCGTCAGCTCTAATATTTCACCATTTGACCATCATATCTCATAGGGGGAGAGGCTGATGTGACACCATTCTGCATCCATCCCTTATTTGCAAGCTGCACTATAAAGTGACCTGGTGTGCAATGACCGTATGCATCAGGTTTCATCATAGTGCCAGATTAAAGTTCCTGCTGATCATTACATGCAGGCAGAGCTGTCCACAGCTCGTCTCTCTTGAGAGCAGGGGACAACCCATGGCAGTGCTGCCTATTCTTGTCAGCCCAGCGGATCTGCCCTCCCTATAAAAGTTGGCCCTTTACCAAGTTGATGTAGAATGTGCAACAGTGCGGCCCAAAAACAAATCTCGTAGGTATGTATTTTTGTGCATTCTTGGCTGTAAAATAAAATGTTAAAGCTTTGTGAAATAGAAAATAACTTTAAAGTGAGACTCCAATAGCGACACGTCACTCATGTCACTATTAGAGTCCTTTAGAATGCCGTCACGGTTTTGGTGAGACATCGGATTAAAAAAATGTTTACTGATAAAACATTACCTCGGCCAAATTAATACTCTAAAAGCATATCTACAACACGAGCTATTTAGTCGCAGCTTTCCTGAACACGAATCCTAGATAATTTAACATTCATAATAAATTGAGATGTTTTATTTACAATAGAACGTTTTATCGTTAGTTTTGGCATTGGTGTGTTTCTGCTAGATTATGGGGTCGTTAACCAAAAAAACAAGTAGCCCCGGTTGAAAAAACCTCTCTGTTTCAAGAGCCACAATGCATGTCTAGGATTTGGTGGTCCTTACTAAATACCATCACGAAGCAGTCCTTAAAGAGCCACATGCTCCCGGTTGACATTGGGGTTTGTTTGACCGTACCACAGCATGCTGATCAATTGGTGGAGGTACCAGGTCTGATTTTTAAAAAAACTTCCCACTGATGGCTGTGATGGCAAGCCAAATCCAGGTTGCCAGGTTCATATATTGCATTTTAACCACTGTCACCACTCCTGCCCTAAATGTTGAGGAATATAACACTAATTAAAAATAAGGAACGCAATTTCTAATTTAAAAAATGTTAGTTAATTTAGGCATGCATATACGGTGTTTCCTCGTTATTTGATAGGGATATGTTCCGTAGATGCTCGTTGATAATGCTATTAGCCAATGAAAACTTATCTTTAATTAATTTCCTAAACTATTAATGAACTATTAAATACATAAAAAAAATGTAATGGTTACAAATAAATATTCAAGTGAATTGGTTTCGATATGAACTTTTCCTTATCCTCATTACGTTATCTTTAATTACTTTCTCATCACTTTAAGTCATCGCTTTCTCGCATGACATTCTCTCTCGTCACGATCTCATCTCAATGCAGTATTGCAGAGTTCCAGATGTGCTTTGCGGATAGCCAAATCGCTGATAGCAAGTCTGAATAACGAGGGAGTACTGTATGTAAGCATTTCAAATGTATGTTTTCTGCTTGTTTTTGAGAATGTAGATAATTTACCAGCATTGAAGTACAGACAAATTGATCTTGATTGCATATTTAAAGGTGGTACTTTATCATGATAGAATATCCCAGTGTGGCAGTTATTGCTGCTGAAATGAACCATTAATCTGAATTTATTCTCATTGGCTGTTGCCATTGCTTGTTTCACACCGCCAGAAATGTTCATTGTCTCGTGGGGTTTGTGAGGAGCTGGAATGGAAATTACTACGATTGATTGTTAATGTACACCTCCCCCAACCCCTCATTTGTGTGTGTTGCAGTTCCTGAAGATTCAGATGGGCCTGAGGTAAGCAGTATTTCCAGATCTGAATTTCCTAAATATAAAAGCTTGGACATCTATCTAAGTTATAACTTCTTTTTTTGTGTGTTAGTTTGTTGTGAATCCCCGCACCTCCTGATTTAATATAGTTGGCTATGTACGGTGTGAAAGATGCTCAACATGTACATAACTAAATACAACATATAAAGCAGCGTTCAGCGATGTTGTCAGGCCCCTTGGTTATAAGCTAGTTTTAATTTTGAATTTCCCTCAAATTGGGCTTCAAGAGAGGTTATTTTAATCTTGGCTTCTCACACAGATTGGGTTATTTTTACTTTCAAGCCATAATCACTTTAAAGGGGTCTGCATTGACAAATACAATGTATACAAACGTTTCTAATTTAAGTTGAAGAGTTTACGGGTACCATTGTTGGTAAAATGGTTCAGTGTGCTATTTGCAAATGGGCAGCGAGTGAAGTAAAGTGATATAGATGTGTGTTTGTCCATAATGCTGCATCAAAAAAGGTATTTGCAAATGATTTCTCAAGGGTACGGCATTGGTCATGCACCCACACCTTTGGCAGAGGCAGGTGCAGGAGCCTGCAGCGCATAAAAGGGTTTTGTTCAACTTCACAGGCGAGCGCTGCTCGGGAACTAAGATGTGGCTTTAGGGAAAGCACTGCATACACACAGTGCTCCTTCAGATTTATCTGTTTCGGCAGCTTTTTTTATCTTAATTTTTACAATTAAAGCTGCTATCCATCATGTTAACTGCAAAGGGGGAGTATATGGCGAGCCTTATGTTAGGTTCTCCCCAAGGGCAGCAACTTAAGCAATCAGGAATGTATATACTTAGCTCTTTCGGTAAAGTCACGTTGAAGGGAAACAATAAAATATATATAGAATTTTTATTTTTTATATATTTTATTGTTTCCCTTCAATGTGACTTTACCGAAAGAGCTAAGAATATGAATTACTGCAGTCACGAAAGCTTTAAATCAATCAGGAATGTTTTTATATTGATGTTTCACAGTAACGTTACGAATGTGAAAATTACAGCCACGTTAGAAACATTTTAGGTTCGGCCAATAAAGCTGCGATTCCTAAAAGGGGGAAGTTGTCCGGTGAAAATCGTGCGTTTTATAAAACATGACCATTTTAACATCGACACTTTATGTTATTGTTTTTTAGCCCTTCATATCAAAATAGAGTAATTCTACAAACATTTGGTTTTGCTATTTATGATTAGTTTCGACCCATGAGCGCTTTGCACCGTGAAAGGTATTTGCTGCTGATTGTCATGGTTTGATTAAATAATGCAGAAAAATGTATTGGCCGTGTGTAACCCAAAATTTAAGATGGTTTTAATATATGGACTACAAAAAAGGGTTTGCCATTAGCTTATTTTTCAGTTGCACGGAAAATTATTACGCTAAGATGCAAATATTCTATAAGTAAAATGGCAACTCGTATTCCATGTTGTAGGGAATATGGGCATTAAGAGCCTGAGTCAAAAAAAAGACTTTATTTTTACATCAGATTGCCATGATTACAGAAGGCAGCATGCGAGCACTGATCGTTACCCGTAGTGCATTATGGTTGCACTTTGGGCTCCATTACAGTGCCAGAACAAACTTGTCCTCTGAAGAAGGGCTAGACTTATCAGTAGCCTTGCTCTTTCTAAAGCGATGAACAATGCTCTCTTCATAGCAGAAATATGGTAAAGAAACTAGTTTAGCCGTTCATATATAAACACATCGAGCCAACAAGCTCATACGAAGCAGCTGCAGGCATTGGTATGCTAGCTGTTAGAACTTTATTTGGTATATTTTTAATTTGTTTCAAACCAGCTTTGTTTACATTCCTAAATGTGAGTTTGGTAATTAATACATACTTCATCTTGCCTTATAACTAGCATTAAAACGGTATGAATTAATGGTAGTTTTACCATATTTTTGATGTATGGTTTTGCGTTTTGGATCAAATATTTAGATTTTGGCATGTCATAGCTTTTGATTTAAAGCTTTCGTGACTGCAGGGATTCATATTATTGGTTCTTTCGGTAAAGTCACGTAGAAGGGAAACAATAAAATAATAAACAATATATTGTTTCCCTTCTTCGTGACTTTACCGAAAGAACCAAGAATATGTTATAGCTTGTTGGAAGAGAGGCTGAAAGATTTATGTTGGGGCCAGCGGGTAGTCTTTGAACATAACATTTGTATTCTGAGTGAAATTCGAAGAAATGGTCTTTTGCATGTAGAACTTTACAAACTTTTGCAACTTGTGAAAATATCAGCATATCACTGCATCAACACCACATTTTGCACTAATTACTGACCATTTATATGCGGAGTTTGCTTAATGGGCCTGGACACTAGGTTATTTTGCATTTAGAAATTGTTTGCCTTGGCAATTCTCTTCCTGCATGTGTGTAAATTAGCATCGTGTGCTTAAAGTGGTCATGGGGAAACATCTGCTACAGATTTAGCCCCGAGCAAGGTTTTGCTGCAGTCTCATCTGGACCATGGGCTTATTACTTTGTTGCACGCATTTGCGACCGTTGCTCAGGAGACCCATACAAGCGTTAAATCGCCCAAATGTTTACAGATGATTCATGGCTGACATGCGCAGGGCCAGAAAACCAAAAGAGCTATCCCACCGAGCTGTCTGGAAAGCGATGTTGAAATTGTTTCGGGGAAAATAAATATCTGCTTTTGGCCTTTATTTAGATCAAATGGCTCCACTTTTCCCAGCTCATTAATGCTTAAGAACAGCAGGCCCTTGTAATAAGACAAAAGGAAAATAATTTTCATTTTAACTTTTTTTTTGTTAAACATCAGTGTGCTTGTTTTTTTTGAGTAAATACAGACTGTTGGAATGTAAAACAGCTTGAAGCACTGTATAAACACTTCAAATCATAGGTTTACTGTGTATTGGTTGGACGTTTAGGTTTCCGGTAAAATAAGTGGTTTATATTTGTTTAATATTACTTGAATGTTGTACTGTTACGTGCGAGAGCATTCTTGAAATGTCCAGTTGCTGTATTTAAAGCAATCGTCAAAGAGAGTAACTGCTTTTTAATGATGCTTTACAGTATGGGAATGTCTTTCCGTTTGAGCAACTTACAAAATGCCTCAATCCATCCATCGATGAGACGGTCAATAAAAGCGCCGGAGCGTTATATTGCGGTCTTTTTCCCTTCCTTTGACCCCCTCAACCTCACCACCACCACCACCCCCATTCCCTGCGGCTAGGACGAAGAGGCCGAAACACAGCTCGCGACAGATTTTGAGATTGGGCACTTTTTCCGGGAGAGGATTGTGCCCAGGGCGGTGCTTTACTTCACTGGGGAGGCCATTGAGGACGAGGATGACGTGAGTGCTCGTTGCCCCCTTTGTTGCGTCGCGGTTTGCGCATGCTCACACGCGTCAATCGCTCACACGGGGCAATGACAGTGGGCAATAATTCCCCGGGTCTAGCTTTGTGCTTGTCCATGGCTGGCAAAGATCGTGTGGTAAAATACAGTCGTTGATTTCTGCAGTTTTACCACAGGAGAAAAAAACGACTGCCCTCCAGCCGTAACGATTGTTACTGCTTTCACCGTCGTGTACGATATATTTTTTTATTTTGTAACTTTTTCTCGCATGACTTTTTAGCATGTACTGCAATGTTCAGTTTTTGTCTGTCCCCATGGGTTTTATACCTATTTGCATAACCATCAACTATTTCGGTAATTGTGATTTTGTTTCTCTTTTCCAGTATGATGAAGAGGGAGAAGATGGAGAGGTATGTCAGGATGCATTCCTGCAGCATCAATTCACCCAATGCATTATATATTGATTGAGTAATTTGTGAGTAATTTTAATAAACAAATTGTTTCCTCAGGAGGGTGAGGAGGAGGGAGATGAAGAGGATGATGACCCGGACTATGAACCTTCGGTATGAATGCCCACATGCTGTTGTGCTAATATTAGTCGAGAAATTTAAGTGGACACTTTTTTTCTGGCCGCTGCAACATTACACTTCCACCAGGACTATATTGTAAATGAGATGCTTGCATCAGTTGTGCATCCTGGCAAATTGTTTATTTTTAAACACGCATGCAGTGTGTGTTTTTTGAGGAACAACAAAGAGCACGCAGTAAAAATTCAAGCAGTGCTTAAAGTTTTAACATTGTCTGAGACTTAAGCATGGGTTACTTTTCTGAGGAAAAAAAACCAGGAAGAATATACTTGGTCCATAAGTAGGATATGTTTAATACCAATTACTCCTCATTGCTGTACCACTGTCCCCAACACTTTGATATGCGAGTGTCAGCACATGGCTGCCAATAGAGTAATGCTTTTTCAGGTTTTAAACGTTTTATGGCAGCCATATTTCACAGCTAAAATGTTTTGTTTTCCCTTGTGCACATCGACGATTTTTTTCTGCCGACAGGCACATGGGTTCATTCCAGGGCCTAGCCAAGAAGCCTGCTTTAAATCGCTTGTGTAGTAGAAAGAGCAGTGGTAACCTCAAATTGTTCTCTTGTGCAACACCCTGTGGTGGAATTGTGCAATTTGGACACGTATATAGAGTAATTTCCCCCCCCCCCCCCACCAAGTTTCCCTGGTTAATGAGCAACGTACTGGAGTGGGGTGTTGGTGCAGTGCTGTCCGGAGTGGCTGCATCCCTCTACAAAAGCAGATCTTCAGTTTAAAATGTGCATGACTGTTAAAGGAGGCCTAATTGAGACCAGACGTGGACGTGTCATAACATGTTTGGGCATGCATGAGTGCGTCAGAATAGTGGTCTTTGTCTAGCTGTTATATTATCCTGCAGGCATGCCTTTGCCCTACTGAATAGCCTTTATCAGCGTGGGGCTGGCTGAGTGCAGCCCAGAATTTTCTAGCATCGTTATTCTGATGGACTTTTGCCTGCTTGTGACCCACCTTCCTGGTGATACTTTTGAGTAACTCTCGTACTTGTGACATGCGTGAAAATAAACAGCCTTCAGCAAATGTGTTCTGTGTTTAATGGTAATCTAAAAGTGTAAAATCACCAGCTGTTTAAGTGTTTTAAGAGATACGTTGAAAAAAAAACCCACCTCTCCCACGTGTTTCGTAAATGCGAGTGTATTGACCGCATTATAAACAGCGCCATTTATTGAGCTTATAAGGGCATATGAACAACTAATTTAACACAAATATAAGACTGGTGCTTATTGGGAATGGATATCTGACTGCAATAGATTCAAAATACTGTACAAATGTCTAAAGTATGATAGATTTTGGTGAGAATTTGTGCAAAAAATATTAGTTACGGCATTCAGCAACACGCAACATAGCCCTGTGTTTTTATTGTACACCCATTGCGTGACTTAAGACATCGTAAAAATGTTGCTTTTGACTATGCAATGAAATGTAATTGTCAACAGCTATAAGCTGTGTCCAGGACATTCTGGTATAGCGTATACTGATTGGCAATAAGCAGGTTTATGATGCTTTTGTTACCTCTTCGTGAAGAATGTATACATTTCCATATCCGACTGTTAATGCAGATATGAATGTTGCATGTAATAGAGGTAATGAATGTGTGCATTGAAGGCAGTTTCATCCTTTTGGGGCTTAAGTGTGTGGATTATCCAGTGCTGTTGCTGCATACCTAACACAAAATAATAAAAATACTACTGAGGCATAAAGTGGAGATGGCTCTTATTTTTATTTTACCAGTTACTGTAAACCCAAAGTTCAATATTAAAAAAAAAAATCTTGTACGGTTAACTTTGAATACAGAAAATAGCCAAAATGGTGAAAAACTGTTTTGGATTCACAATTCTGCCAAAAAAATAGGGGTTTTTAAAGGCAAATTGTATTGGATCTACTGCAGGATTAACATACATGCTGGATGCCACTAGTGTTTATCTTAAATGGTTTATAAAATAATAAAGGCACTGCTTTATTCAAGAGTGTCAAGTTGATTAATTTTGTGTGAACAAAGATCCATGCACTTTGAATTTATGCATTTTGTAATGTTCAGTTGCTGTTACCTGTGTATGTTGCAATGATCAAAGGTCAAAACTTGTTGCGTTCACCTGGGAAATTAGTTTTCATTTGACAGGTTTCCAACAGCACCAGAGTGTGTTTGATCGTTTGCAGTTGCCTTCCAACGAGTGTATCAAAGAATAGACTTGAAATATTATATTTTGATGCATTCTCTGACATAAGTCATTTATTTGAAGCACTGCAGTACAAATGTGTCATGATTTGATGGTGAGAACTGCAACTTTTTTCCCCAATGAATTTCCAGGTGGTTAGGTTATTTTGGTTTATTGCTAATTGGTATCCAGGCTTTATAAATTGGTATTTAACACCTATAAATGTTGAATCACTTTTATTGCAATAGTCATGAGCAAATGGCAGTTTGTGGGTTAACTATGCAGAGGCTGTAAGAAAAAGAATGACCTTGCGCTCTGCACTGGGAGGGAACGTGCTTAGAAGTGGAAGTTATTGCTCGTAAACTGATTTATATTAGATTACCCAAAAAGTGACCCTCAACATTGAGAGTTGTGCTTAATGTGGAGTTCTGCTGGTGTTGTAACTTATTCACCAATTTCTTTCATGTTTGTGCCTGCAGGCGGATAGCAAGCAGCCTGCCGAGTGCAAGCAGCAGTGAGAGGACAGTTCCCATCTTCAAAAGTTGTCAATTATATCGCTATAAGCTTGGCTTAGCTTTAAACTGGCATGATATTTGTTTCTGCTGAAGAGTTATGTTTGTGTTCACGGTTTATTGTTTTGTTTTTGAAATGTGAATTGCCTAGTTAGAAATGCAAACCAGCTTAATAAAAAAAAGTATGGCTCTTTTGTTACAGGTAAAGTTAAGCCGCACTTTAACCCATGCAAGTTTATAACATTTATCTTTCAATAATTCACGTAGCTTTTGATGTTCACATGTGGAAGTTGCCCAAATAAAATCTTTAATCCAAACATTTTCAATGAAGGATATTTACTGCACAACTGGCAAATAAGAGTATCAAACGATACTGAGATGCTATTTTTATGGCCAGCTTTCCTTTATACACAGTTGCTCACCATCTGCAATATCCATCGCTTATTTTTGTCATGCTTCGAATTTGACTAAAGGATAATGATAGCTTTGACCGGCTTTTACAAAGCCAATTGAATTGCAGGCAATCCGTGTATCCATTTTCTGCTTCAACCAGGTGTATGCATCCCCATCGCTTGTGAAGTAGTACGCTTGGAAAGCAGGCCTGAAACATGGGCAGATAAGCTACTCATCTGCAAAAGGTTGTACAATGAAGGCAGTTTTAGTACAGTATTCAGCACAATAGGTGCCCTTTGTTAAAAGTAAAAAAATATTAATCTACAGTGGGTGCAATGTGACTTTGATCACTTCAAGAATCTTTTGCAGTGAAGGATGTAAACCAAGGGTGCTAAAAATGTTAATTTACATTAAAAATATTCCATTGTACGCCACATCCTTTGGCTAAGATGTGGTGATGGATAAATTGACGTATTGGCAGTGCACCAGGGCAGCACAACACTTCTGTCAAACCTATAGTCCAAATTTGAACTAATTTTGGCGCACCCCCGCAAGATTTTCCAACCCGAGTTGCGAAGCACGGGAAAATATATTCTTGGTTCTTTTGGTAAAGTCACGTAGAAGGGAAACGGTAAAACAAAATTATCACGTTTCGACTGCAACACAAGCAATCATCAGGTGTGAAAACCACAAGAAAATTTGAAAAAAGTTGCGGTTATTTTTAACGTTAGCACCACGGAGAGCGATTTGACAGTTTGTTCAGATGGACGAGTCCATCTGTGTTCGGAAAATAATGGATGCGGTCTGAAAGCGTGAACAATCAAGACCGAAATGGTTTATCAAATCCTTCCAATGATTGCTAAGCCAGAATCCATCTTCTCGGTTGCAATTGTGTTTGTATATGTGGATAGCCCCATGAACGAATCACGGTAGCCAGATGGCTTGCAAAGAACCTCTGTCTTGGAGAAGTCAATGTCATGTGAACCTACTGAATTATAACTGTTCTGCCACGGCCGAGGTGTTGGTCCTACCGTGTTTCAGGTCTGCTTTGTGTTCACGAATGCGGTCCGAGACGTCGTTTGGTTTCTCCAATGTAACTGCTACCACAGAGGCAACTTGGTTTGTAGATGCCAGGGTACTGTGTCTGGAATCGCATCTTTTACAAACGGAACCAGATCACGGATTTTATGTAATGTGTTGAATCGGACCTGGATCTTGTGTTTATTCAAGATTTTGGAGATCTTTTTTTGTGATCCCCGCAATGTAGGGTAAAGTGATGGTTTTGAAAGGCTCCTCAAGAGGGTCCTTCTTCATGGTTGGAGTGATAGCTTTGCGGATTGTGTAGTCGGAATAACCACTAGCCTTAAGAACTTAGTGTACATGCTTGAGTTCACTGGCTATATGTTCCTGGTCGGATATGCATTGGGCTCTATGGTGCAGAGTCTTGATGATGGAATTCTGGGATGGATGGTGGTGGGAATCCGGTTTCAGGTAAGCATCCGTATGGGTAGCTTTCCTGTAGACAGTGGGTCATTGAACCATCAGGTCTCTTTTTTTATTAGGACATCCAAAAAAGGTAGCTTGGCATCTTTTTCGACTTCCATGGTAAATCTGATGGCTGGGTGTATGGAATTTATGTGGTCGAAGAATTGGTCTAGAGCAGGCCGGCCATGTGGCCAGATGACAAAAGTGTCATCCACGTACCTCTTCCATAAGGTTGGGCGCAGAGTGGCATTCTGGATGGCGTCTCAAATTTCTCCATGAAAATGTTGGCTACAACCGGAGATGGGGGGAGCCCATTGGGGTGCCCTCTGTAGAAAGTTCCTTTCCAAGTGAAGTATGTATTGGTTAAGCAGTGTCTTACCAGGGGGGGGGGGGGGTACCTCGGTGTTTAGTCCTTGATGAACCAAGTCTTCAATGATTGCGATGGTGTTGGGTACAGGAACTTTGAATAAGGAAACTACATCAAAACTGGCAAGCAGGTCGTCTGGGGACAGGGAAATACCCGTGATTGTCGATACCAGGTGAGTGGAAATTTTTACCGCAGAGGTGGTTTTTCCAGTGAAAGGCCGCAGGATTTCTACAAACAAACTGAGGGCACCCCAATGGGCTCCCCCCTATCTCCGGTTGTAGCCAACATTTTCATGGAGAAATTTGAGACTGACGCCATCCAGACTGCCACTCTGCGCCCAACCTTATGGAAGAGGTACGTGGATGACACTTTTGTCATCTGCCCACATGGCCGGCCTGCTCTAGACCAATTCGACCACATCAGTTCCATACACCCAGCCATCAGATTTACCATGGAAGTCGAAAAAGATGGCAAGCTACCTTTTTTGGATGTCCTAATAAAAAAGAGACCTGATGGTTCAATGAGCCACTCTGTCTACAGGAAAGCTACCCATACGGATGCTTACCTGAAACCGGATTCCCACCACCATCCATCCCAGAAGTATTCCCTCATCAAGACTGCACCATAGAGCCCAATGCATATCCGGCCAGGAGCACATAGCCAGTGAACTCAAGCACGTACACCAAGCTCTTAAGGCTAATGGTTATTCCGACTACACAATCTGCAAAGCTATCACTCCAACCATGAAGAAGGACCCTCTTGAGCCTTTCAAAACCATCACTTTACCCTACATTGCGGGGATCACAAAAAAGATCTCCAAAATCTTGAATAAACAAGATCCAGGTCCGATTCAACACATTACATAAAATCCGTGATCTGGTTCCGTCTGTAAAAGATGTGATTCCGGACATACAGTACCCTGGCGTCTACAAACTAAGTTGCCTCTGGTAGTAGTTACATTGGAGAAACCAAACGACATGTCTCGGACCGCATTCGTGAACACAAAGCAGACCTGAAATACGGTAAGACCAACACCTCGGCCGTGGCAGATCACTGTGATAATTCAGTAGGTTCACATGACATGGACTTCTCCAAGACAGAGTTTCTTTGCAAGCCATCTGGCTACCATGTGAGATTCGTTCATGAGGCTATCCACATATACAAACAGACAATTTCAACCGAGAAGATTGATTCTGGCTTAGCAATCATTCTAAGGATTTGATAAACCATTTCGGGTCTTAATTGGTTGTTCACGCTTACGGTGGCTTTCAGACCGCATCCATTATTTTTCGTCTCCCCCTTCCTCTTTTCGGACATAGATGGACTCGTCCATCTGAACAAACTGCCAAATCGCTCTCCGTGGTGCTAACGTTAAAAATAACTCCCACTTTTTTCAAATTTTCTTGTGGTTTTCACACCTGATGATGATTGCTTGTGTTGCAGTCGAAACGTCGTGAGAATTGTATTGTTTTATATTTTTATTGTTTCCCTTCTACACGACTTTACCGAAAGAACCAAGAATATGAATCCCTGCAGTCACGAAAGCTTTAAATCACGGGAAAATAATTATAGCCAAGATTTTGCTTTTCATACCACGCACCGTTGTACCGCCAATACGTTCAAATGTCATGGCAAGACTTTGGAAGTTGTAGGATTCATGTGGACATAGACTTGGCAAGACCCGCCACCCCTGATCTACAGGGTTCTAATAAGTATATTTTTGTATACAATTGGCTAAATAGAGAATAAACTCCTTCAGGATAATAACATGTTGAAAGGATTTGTATTGTTTTAACCCTACATTTTAACTGGGAAACTGACTGGCATATGCAACGTTGCCATCGATTCCAAAAAAAAAACCTGTCGTACTTTTATAAACGTTAACTTCATATTTCATTTTGCCATGTTGAAAGTGATGGGAGTGGCGTTAGCTGAAATTGGAAGCGAATGATAATTTTGTTATTACTGGCCATTCATTTTTTCATCATCATGATGGCTGATATTAGAATGACGTCAAGTGGTTTCACATGGCCCCATTATCACTGCCTTGTAACCATGATGTATCGTTTGTGAAACCTAAAAACACAGCTATTGCAGGATATTCTGCAAGTTAATGGGCAATTAAGAGGCCTGTGGATTGTAGCAGCATTACCCTGTTCACTCGTGCTATTATAAAGGCTATGCGATTGGAATGACGATTGATGGGTAATTGTTCGTGCAGCTTTGGCTTAATTACATAATCACGACTTGTTCTCATCTCCAGCCATTTGTAGTTCCTTAATCTTCAATACCGAATGGCAGTCGAGGCACGTAACTTATTTACATTCTTTAATTTTAATGTACAACGTATCCCCCGTCTTAGACCATATCACCCGGAATGGGCCCACGATCTCATCAGATCTCGGATGCTAGGCAAGGTTGAGCCTGCAATATATTTGAATGGCTGAAAACCAGGCAGGCAGCTTGCTGTTGGTGCATTTTATCACCAAAGGGCAGTGTAGTAAAGCTTACTATTGTGCTATGTGCCCCACCATCAACCCCTACCGGCCAGCGTGGTGGAGTATGGTCAAATCCCCGTGACCCACTGCATGGAGAGAACTCGTGCCGTCATGGATCAACTCAAGCAGGGGTCTGCAACCAAAATAACGAGTTATTTCGAATTCGGTGAAACGATATTTCAACAGCCGCAATTCATGTGAGTACGAGACTGTCCTTAATGTAGCGAAGTCCTTAAAGGGCCACATGCTGTGTAGCGGCAGGTTGCCTACACCTGCCCATGGTAAGCGGGACTTCCACGGTAAGCCCGGATTCCCATAATATACTGGACTCCCATGGTCAGGGGTTGGCAGTCTTTAAAGAGCCGCATGCGGCTCTGGAGCTGCAGATTGCCGACCCCTGCGCTAAAGGGCTCGTACAACATTCCTTGCCGGAGCTTCCGCCTCTATCTGAAATCACAGAAGGCATCAACAATTATGTAATTTTCCCTTGTGAGGTGAGAGTACAATTCTAAAGTACTCTAACCCCAGCCCGTGTGGGTCAGTGTCCTGGCTAAGCCAGCTCGAACATGAGCAA